CACATTTTTCAAGGTCTTTTGGAAGAAGATGTGATTTTGTTTTGGTGAATTCACATAACTGATTAACATCTGGTCTTTACAACTGCGGTCGGTTGCTTCTCAGATTTAAAAGAAGTATCTAAAAACACTGATTTTTAACAATCAGAGAACAATGAGAAGCAAATAATGCAGCAACAACATTGCTGACAGGTGAGTGTTTTTGTTTTCTTCTCCTCGGTTTCATCTGTGATTACAATAGTTTGGCATTACAGAGTTTATGCAAATAGGAAGATGTGTATAAATATTGTCATTTTATAGATATGTAGAAAAATATATTTAATTTGACTTTTTATTTTTTTTTATTTTAGTACTAGCCAATGGGAACATGTTGATGGATGTTCCGATAAGGAATTTTTTAAACTTTAATTTTGAGTAGAACAAGAAGACTTAGTGTTTGTTTGTCCGTGTGGTGTTTTTTTTTTATTTTGTTTTTTTAAACAAATTAATGTTTTTTACAGGCATGTTGAGGTTTCCTTTAACTGACAGTCTTTGAGAGTTTGTTGGACTTAAAGGGCAGCCAGTGAAGAGAATCACCTAATTAAATTAAGAGTCAGTATTTTGAATCCCCGTCAAATTAGAAACAAAACACAGTTACCAACTAAACAAACCTTCTCTGTGATGTTCTTGAAAGATGACGGTGATACGACAGAGAAACACAGAAGCAAGATGTCAGTCTGAAGGTAGTTGAAGGGTCGCAGTGTATGATAATCTTCCTGACCTGCAGGGGGAACACAACACAAGTGTCTGAACAACAAGTTACCCCTCCCCCAGAAAATGAATTTGGAAATGACTGCATCTAAAGGATAAAGGACACTCTATCGAAGATGCCAATGTTCACATTTTGGGCAGAGAGGACAGATGGTTTGAAAGAGGAGTGAAAGAAGCATCTATGTCCACTGTGAGCGACCATCTTTGAACAGAGGCGACACCAACTGTCTGCCATCTATAATCCAGTTTTGAGTTCCCTCCCCAGACGCCTTAACGCCCACTCACATCCTGGGCCATCTGACCTCAGGAAATCACATGATAGGGTGGGGCCAGGTTTCACAATGAGCTCACCTGAAACCTTGGCTTATTGTGACCCACAACCGCTTTCACACCTTGATTCATGTGATTAGGTAGCGGATCATTAGGGGGGACACTCCCACAGGGGGACACTCCCACGGGGCTTAAATCTGGGACAATCTGGGACTCTCCACCATTTGACCCTAGAACTGAAGAAGCTTCTCGGATGAGAGGTGAAACGTCTTCAAGCAACTTAAAGAAGTCCAGACGCTTTTCTTTCTAAGCTCCTTAGACTAAGATGACTGAGAACCTTCACAGACATTTTACAATAGATTTTTCGTTCTAAGATTTTTGCTCACCAGTCACTTCATCAAAGGTGCTGATGAGAATAGGGCTCAGTGGAAATCAAGTCAACTGAGATTTCATGGGTTAAACACTGAGACAATATTGTCTAAGTTTAAAAGTTTGATTAGGTAGAGGACCAATAGCATTGTCTAGGTCCATGATCCTGTTGAAGACACTCCCATACTATACAGCTTAAAATCTGGGACTCTCCACTAATTGTACTTAGAACTGAAGAAGCTTCTCGGATGAGAGTTGAAACATTCCCAAGAAACCTTGAGAATGTTTCTTTCTAAGCTCCTTAGACTATTTCCTAATGTTGTAAATCTGCTCAACATTTGGCAATAAAACCCTTTTTGATTCTGATTCTGACTAAGAGGACTGAGAACCTTCACAGACATTATATTTTTGTATTTAATAGACTGAGTTTCGATGTACTTTTTACCTGTAGTGTCATTTAATTCCAGAGTGTACGCCTCTCCACCAACAATCACTGTCACAGCATAGTTGTCAAACACCTGGAGAAAACAGGGAACAAAAGTTAAACAAGCCATAAACAAAGATAAGTAAACATGCAAATGCAGCAGAATCATTACAGCATGACTAAACAGAGTCAAACTGATTTATGAAATGAGCTGAGCACTTTCATGAATATTAGTTTGCAGCTGTTCAGGTAAGCAGATGTGTCATGTCTTGCTTTACTCCCCTTTACTCACGTTCAGGCTTCTGCCGCGTGTGTTAACAAGCAGCTTATCCCAACATTCCTGGTAACCTCGGCTCTGGACGTGAGCGGATGCAGGGAGTGTTTTACAGCTGCTGTGCTTACTTGAATACTTACTTTCAAACTCCAAACACACTAGAACAGAAATTGGTCCACACTGTATTTGTGAGAACACAATACACAAACCACTTCGATTGGTTTTGCATGTATGTGCTGTAAATACTGTTTGTACTGTCTGTCTTTAGTGTTCTGTAGAGTTCAGTTACTGCAAGTATCACAACCTGTGTGACACAAAAGAGCAGTTGAAATCTGTCTGGTGTATGTCTGCAGATTTTTGTGTCATGAATTTCCTGAAGAGAGAAATCTTGTTTTTTTGTTTTTTAAAATTTGTGGTATTTAAACCTACTCACTATGGGTATGTGTTCTTCCTTTAAGGCTGTGCCTGTATAGGTCAGGAGCAATTCATGCTTTCCTGAATCACGATCACCCACCACCACGAGCTTTATAGTCTGCATCTGAGAGGTAGGAAAAACAATTTTTAAAAAAGGAGCAAAATTAGGAACAAAATAAACTGTAAAGACAAGTAACTGATTTGTGTCTCATCATCATCATCACCTTTATTTATAAAACACTTTAAAACAACCACAGCTGACACGAAGTATTGCGCATTGGAACTATATAATACATTTACATAAGATATAAATAAAAGGAAAATAATTAAATAACTAATTTAATTATAAGAGAAACTAAGTCTCACTGAGAATAAGACAAAGAATAAGTGGGTTTTAAGACATGATTTAAAAGAGTACAGTGAAGGGGCCTCTAACATGCAAGGGCAAATTATTCCATAATTTTGGAGCGACATTAGAAAAGGCCCCGCCTCCTATGAGTTTCCGCCTGGATCTTGGTACCTTCAGCAGCAGCTGGTCAGCTGACTTGAGAGACAGGGTAAGGATGAAGAAGCTCAAAGAAGTAAGGTTGGGCAAGAATGTGAAAGCATTTAAAAACAAACATAAGAATTTTAAAATGAACTCTAAAAGGAATAGGCAGCCTGCACAGGGGTTATACAGACGTCGAGAAAATTGTTAGTACCCTTCAGTCAATGAAAGAAAAACTCACAATGGTCACAGAAATAACTTTAATCTGACAAAATTAATAATGAATACAAATTCTATAAACCCTAACCAATGAAAGTCAGACATTGCTTTTCAACCATGCTTCAACTGAATTATTTAAAAAATAAATGCATGAAACGGGCCTGGACAAAACTGATGGTTGCCCTAGCAAAGAATGGACATTTTAATTGAAGGTGTGTCCACTAATCAGCACCACAGGTGTCTACAATCTTGTAATCAGTCAGTGGGCCTGTATGTATGTCTCCAGGTAGTCACTGTGTTGTTTGGTGACATGGTGAGTACCAAACTCAACAGGGACCAGAGGAAGCAAAGGAAAGAGTCGTCTCAGGAGATTAGAAAGAAAATCATAGACAAGCATGTTAAAGGTAAAGGCTATAAGACCATCTCCAAGCAGCTAGATGTTCCTGTGACTACAGCTGCACATGTTATTAAGAAAGTTAAGATCCATGGGACTGTAGCCAACCTCCCTGGACATGACCGCAGGAGGAAAATTGATGACAAATCAATGAGACGGATAATCCAAAGGGTAACAAAAGAGCCCAGAAAGACTTCTAAAGAGATCCAAGCTGAACTTCATGCTCAAGGAACATCAGTGTCAGATCGCACCATCCGTCGTTGTTTGAGCCAAAGTGGGAGACGACCAAGGAGGACACTATTGTTGAAAACAAATCATAAAAAAGCCAGACTGGAATATGCAAAACTACATGTTGACAAGCCACAAAGCTTCTGGGAGAATGTCCTGTGGAAAGATGAGACAAAAATGGGATTTTTTGCAAAGGCACATCAGCTCCGTGTTCACAGACGGAAAATGAAGCATATCAAGAAAAGAACACTGTCCCAACTGTGAAACACGGGGGAGGCTCGGTTATGTTCTGGGGCTGCTTTGCTGCATCTGGCACAGGGTGTCTTGGATCTGTGCAGGTACAATGAAGTCTCAAGACTATCAAGGGATTCTAGAGAGAAATGTGCTGGCCAGTGTCAGAAAGCTTGGTGTCAGTTGCAGGTCTGACAATAGGAAAATGACCCGAAACACAGCTAAAAACACCCAAGAATGGCTGAGAGGGAAACACTGGACTATTTAAAAGTGGCCTTCTCTGAGCCCTCACCTTAATACTATTGAGCATCTTTGGAAGGAGCTGAAACATGCAGTCTGGGAAAGGTGCCCTTTAAACCAGAAACAGCTGGAGCAGTTTGCACATGACTGGTCCAAAATACCTGCTGAGAGGTGCAGAAGTCTCATGTTGTGTGTACCATCATTTTTGTCCAGGCCTGTTTCATGCATTTATTTTTTTAAATAATTCATTTGAAGCTTGGTTGAAAAGCAATGTCTGACTTTCATTGGTTAGGATTTATAGAATTTTATTTATTATTACTTTTGTCAGATTAAAGTTATTTCTGTGACCATTGTTAGTTTTTCTTTCATTGACCGAAGGGTACCAACAATTTTTGTCCACGTTTGTATGCTCTCTTTTACGAGTTCCTGTTAGGAATCGCGCAGCAGCATTTTGAAGACGTGAGAGCAATGACTTACTCACCCCCACATAAAGTGAATTACAGTAGTCCAGATGGGAAGAAATAAAAGCATGAATCACTGTTTCAAGGTGCTCTCCTTAAATGATAAAAACTGGACTTCACCACTGTTCTGATTTGGTTGTCTTTAAATTTAAAATCACTCCCCAACTTAAAACCAAGGTCAGTAACAACAGGATTAAAATAAACTTCCAGGTGTCTGAAATCAACAGAGGACGCACAGGGACCACCAGGTCCAAACACTTCTGTTTTCTTTTCATAAAAATTTAGAAAGGTTAGAGCCAACCAAGTTTTGGTGTCATCTAGACATGTCAAGAGAGGTTTTATGGAGATGCCATCCTCCTGCTTTAGTGGCAAATAAATTTGGCAGTCATCAGCATAATGAGATCCTAATGAAAAGAGATCCCATGCCTTCTAAGGATGGAACCCAGAGGCAATAGATACAGCAAAAACAGCAGTGGCCCTAAAATTGAGCCCTGTGGGACGCCGAATGACAGAGAAGCAGAAAATGATTCGGAACCGAGAAGGCTGACAGAGAAAGTTCTGTCTGCCAAATAAGGCCTAAACCAATTAGGTCCAGTCCCAAAATTACAATTTTTTTTTTTGGTAAGGCAAAAAATTGCGTGTAAAACTCTGCGCTCAGGTTTCCTGGCTGTATTTATTTCAACTTAAAAGTACGAATTTTGACCCAATTTTTCTGTCAATTACAAATTTAACAATCCAATCAAAGAACAGATGGGTTTGGCTGTTGGAGGGGTGCTTTACTGAGCTTCATGTCCTGGAAGGGTAATATAGGGTAATATTTCTATGTGAATATCCCATAAGGGTCATACAAGCAGGGGCGGTCCTGGCCTGTTCGGTGCCCTGAGTGAACACTCATAAAATCTAAAATTTTGTTATTATTATTTTTGTACTACTCAGTTTTATTCTCTTTTATCCAGTTGGCACTTTATCATCACTTGGTTAACTAAACAGGATTACTGGTCATGACTCGGTTGCTGTCCACAGTCAAAGTGAATGAACGGAGACTTCAGTCTGTCTCCAAGTTTCCTGGAATGACTTTTTAAATCCAGCAGATGTCGCTGTTGAGCGATTCATAGAAATAGTGTCAACAGCAAGCAGAAGGAGCTCAGTCTGGATCCAGGTTAGTTACTCAAATCCTAGTGAGAGTCCCAGCTTTTATATTTATGTCCTTTCTAATGAACATTAATTTGGTCTATATCTATTGACTTATTTAAGCTACACTACTAAGTCCTGATGCGCTCAATAGAACACAAGATATCTCATGATATGTCGTGTATTGGTGGACTCTTTTAGCTCCAAAAAGGTAGGAAATCACAACAGTTAAACAGAAAATATGTTCTTCCTTGGAAGATATTTTATTCAAACTTTCTCTCAATTTGTGGAGTTCCATCTTCCTGTAATGTGAAGGCAGCAAACATCATGGGTATAGAATTAGATTTTTATGTTCCCCGAGAAACTTCTGAAAAAGACATCTTCTTTCAGCGGCTCCCCTCAGAGGCTCACCCTGTTCTCAGCATCATCTGTCACACCAACCCTCTGCATGTCCTCCTTTTCTACATGTATGAATCTTCTCTGAGGCCTTCCACATTTCCTCCTGCCTGCCAGCTTCATCTTCAAGATCCTTTGTCCAATATATCGACTATCCCTCCTCTGGACATGTTCAAACCACTTCATCCTCGCCTCTCTAACTTTGTCTCCCTCTATTATACTCATTTCTAATTCTGTCCATCCCGTTGACTCCCAGTGGATGGTATCTGCAGCCCTGCTTCCTCAATCGCTTTTGTGCAAATCTCACAGCACTGTCATTCTCACCACTCTTAACTCAGCTCTCAAAACAGTTAAGGCATTTTTCACAACACAGACAGTTTAAAATAAATTATTAAAAACTTCTTGACCTTGGAAAGAGAACTACAAACATATTGGTCTAATGTACAGTAAAAGTCTTCAGACACAAAAGTGAAGTTTGACAGATTTATCTGAATAATTTCTGAAATAGAGAAAATCATAATAAAGACAATATATACAGTCTGAGAATGTGTAACCAAATACTGTGCAGTCCACTAAAGTCACACTATTTACTTTCAGCAGCCACTTTATTGGGTACGCCTGCTCTACTAACCTGTTCCACTTGTTAGTGCAGTTAACCCATATGAGGCCTGCTTTCTAGTTATTGCTGTTCAGCAGCAGCCTGGACAGCTAACGTTATATCTCAGCATTTCATCAACGTTTCTACGTCCAGATGAACAGTTAGCATTACTTCTGTTCTAACAAATAAATAACAAAACACAACATTAAATAAGAGGTCACTGAATTTATTGCTAGTTTTAAATACTTTGACTTTCAAAGTATAGTGATAGTAAAACATATGGAAAAAAGCTCAAAGGAGCACGAGTTGTAAAGATTTTTGGTTACCAGTTAATTTCAGTCTCTAACTATTATCTTACTCATCTTGTCAGTCAAAAACTGATGACTGACTGCACAGTGT